ATGGTTCATTGTCTTCAAAACTAAGCCTTGTTCCAACCAACAAATACCACTAGATAAGCACCATCCACTGGGCGTGGACACCTGTCAGAATGACACATCCACAGTGGATGGATAAGGAGGGGCAGCCATAGTCTTCCTGCAGGGAAGTCACATAGGGGATAGCACATGGGGTGGTGGACAGGTCAGAGCCCTCACAAGCTTTTAGGCAGCTAAAGAAGCCGCCCATCCTGAGTGGACAGTCAACATGGAATGTTCATGGAAATGTCTGTGTGGTCTATAGATAGGCACTGAAGTCTGAATGTGAACCTGTGATTCTGGTCTTTCAGGTGGAAAATAACCTGACTTTTGAGAAATTCATAGCCTGGACCAAGGCAGCCTCTATGAAGAATATTGACGTGGAAGTTCTCCTTCCGAGATTTAAACTACAGGGGGATTATGACATGGAGTCTGTGCTTCAGCGTCTGGGAATGGTTGATGCCTTCCAACAGGGCCAGGCTGACTTCTCTGCCATGTCAACTGAGACCGACCTGTGTCTGTCCAAGGTTGTGCACAAGAGTGTCGTGGAGGTGAATGAAGAAGGCACTGAGGCTGCAGCGGTTACGGGCAAAGAGATGGACTATTGTTCAGCCTATTTACGGAGGTTCCGTGCTGACCACCCCTTCCTCTTCTTCATTAGGCATAACAAAACTAACACCCTTCTGTTCTGTGGCAGGTTCTCATCTCCCTAAGGGTTGTATTTCCTTTGCATGGAGAGTTTCCATCTTTCACTGTCCCCAGATTCTCTCTATAGTTCCATAAGGATGGGCCTATACGTGAATCAATTACGAAATTGAGGGCAGGGTCCTAAACCTTCTGAACCACTTGCCGGCATGATCTCATAATGCATGATCTCAGCTGTCCCCATACTGCCCACTCATTTGTACCACGGATCCAGGATCCTAGCAAATAATAGGCTGTCTTGATTTCCTGTTGTATTTAGGATGAAGGCAGTACAGATGCCATAGGATAGTTTGCAAAGATTTCCTAGCTGTCCCCAAATGTATTTCCTACTCATTTCACACACGGTGTTATGCTGTGCTTTCGTGGCACCTCACATCTTGCCACATACTTGCCTTAACCTGACTAGCTCAATAATAATAAATGCAGCTGAATACTGAAACCAGAATCTTGAAATGAAATTTGATTCACTAGTTCTCTTGGCAGGTGGTGTCTTCACAAGCTGTGGGGTTCTATAGTTGAGAAGTGTTGTGGTTCTTAATGGTGAGCATGGCCACATTATTGCAATAGATCTTAGCAGCTCACCTTCAATTTCTTCCTCTTTCCGGTTTCTTGTCTTGTGAAGTCAATGAATGAAATTCACACACCTGGATGAGAGAGTGTAAACGTAGAACTTATTGAAGAACAGGAACATTCTTTCACTGCAAGCAGGAACAGGAGAGCAGGTTTTCTCTGACAAGAGTGTCCAGGTCTAGGGTTTTATATTGCACTTGGTTCACTGCTTTTGGTCCAAGCGTATGTTAATTAGGGTTGGGAAACCTAAGAATGCTATTGATCAATTTCTGAGTTCCAACTTTCATTCAAGCCTGCCCCACTTCCATTTTCTTGTGGCAGGTCAAGAAACAGGAGGTTGAAGTTATAGATGGGGTTGCAGTGCTGTGGGGAGAAGGCTTTTGTAGCTAGCATCTATACAGTGCCCATCTCTGGCAGGTAATGAATGACAGGTCATCAGGCCTGGGCGCTGACTTGGCTGGAGCTAGCTCACCTGGAGTTGGCCTTCCTGGGTGCTAGCTTGCCGCATCTGTGTGGTGGGCTCCACAAAGCCATAGGCCAAGCTTGCTGAACCACTCAGACTGAAACTCCTATGCTCCACCAGTCCATGACTGCTGCAGCTTCTCAGCATAGAGCAGTAGGTTGGCTGCTCCACTTGGTAGCCTGGGAGCCATGTCAATACTACTGCTACTTACTATTCCAGTTTTCCTGGCACCAGGACTTTTAAAAAAAAAATTAACACATATTAATTTTATCTTCCTTTGGCATTCACCGTTCACCAGGTATATGACAAGCACTGCAATAGGCACTGGTGACACAAGGGGACAGAGTCACAGACACCTGATCTTTAATGTGTGTTCCCAACTTATATAGTGTTTATGACAACCAGATTGGATGGTTTAATAGCTTTGAACTCACCATGTGACCCCCTTGCAGCCAGGATACCTTGCCTCCTAGTATTGTATTTACCTCCAACCCAACAGTTAAATGCCATTCAGCCCTTAAAGTTCATTTCATGTGTCATCTTCTTCAAGACGTGTATCTTCTTCTCCATTATCCGATGTACGTCTTTGAAGTTTAATAATAACTGCCTATGGTAGTTGCACTATTTATTAATAATTATTCTCAGTCCTCTAGGCCTTAAAGTCTGCAAGGGTTGTGATTATATCTCACACATGCTTATGCCACTTACAGTGCAATATAAATAATTTGATTATATAAGAGCTCTATAACTTTTTTAATGCTTGAATATCATCAACTTTATTGTTCTTCTTAGAATTTTTATCACAGTGACATTCACATTTCATCACTCCAGTATCATCTAAAGATGGGTAAAGATGCTGTGTACCTACCACCTTTATTGAGTTCCCAAAAGTTTTCATTGCCCCCAAAGAAATCCCCATATCTACTAAGCAGCAAATCCTTATCCCTTCCTTCCTCCAGTCTCTGGCAACCCTGAATCTGCTTTCTGTCTCCAGGGATTTACCTATTCTGCATTTTTCATGTAAATTGAATCATATAATATGTGACCTTTTGTGCCTGGCTTCTTCACTTAGTGTGATGTTTTCTAGGTTAATTAATGTTATAGTATATACCTGTGTTTTATCCCTTTTTATTACTGAATAATATTCTATTACACGAGTATAACACAGTTGTTTTATTCATTTATCCAGTGATGTGAATTTGGATTTTTAACCCCTTTGGATATTTTTAAATAGTGCTGCTGCTATGAAAATGCATTCATGTAAATTTGCTTGAATACCAGTTTCCCATCATTCCCATATATCTGCATATATACATATCTAGGAATGGAATTGTTAGTCATAGGGTAGTTTTAGCTTTTTTAAGAAGCATGCATTGGTTCCTCAAACACAATTGCATTGGCTGAACCATGTAACATTCTTACCAGCAATGTATGAGAGTTCAATTTCTCTGCATATCCTCACCAACACCTTATTTCCTGTTTTTTTCTTTATTTAAAAACTATGATCATGCTAATAGGTATGAAGTGGTCTCTCGTGGTGGGTTGTTTGTTTTTGTTTTGTTTGTTTGTTTTGTAGTTCTTTGATTGGCAATTCCTGAATGACTAATGATATAGAACATCTTTTCTTGTGGTTTTTGGCCATTGAAATGGTGTGTCCCCAAAAGCTCATAAGTTAGAAAATGCAGGAATGATCAAAGGTGAAAGGATTAGATTATCATCCTCATTGGTGGATTGATTCATTTGATGGATCAATAATTTGAAAGTTATACTATACTGTAGTCAGGTGAGGGGGAGTGTCCTCATAGCATATGTTACCCCTGGCTCCTAGATCTCTCTGTTACTTTCTGCTAACATGGCCTGAGCACCTTTGCTCTGCCATATCCTTCCACCATGATACTCTGCTTCATCTCAGGTGGGGAGCACTGGAGTTGGCCAACCATAAACTGAGACTTTGAAACTGTGAGCCAAAAGAAAATTGCCTCTCTGTCATTCCGGTCAGATATTTTTGCCATAGCAATGAAAAGCTAACACGAATGTCCACAGCTGATGGCACTGATCTTAAAATATATGGTCCAGCCTAGTTAGAAGACCTGTCTCTGATGATCAGCTTTGATAGTTTTCCATTGCTTTTAGGATACAGATTTAGGTTCCTTCAGAAGAGCTAACAAGGCAGTTCCTGATTTAACCTATTCTCCACTCTCCCACTTGCGGTTTCTCTATGGCACCCTTCACTCTAGCCTTACAGAATTATTTGTAGTTTCCTGACTATTCCAAAAGAGGAAGGAGTTGGAGTCCTAAATTCCCTTCAAAGACATACCACCAATGGCTTAACTTCTTCCCACTAGGCCTTACCTCTAAGGAGCTCCATAGGCTGGTAACTATACCTTCAACACATGGGCCTTTGGGCAACATCCCAGATTCAAACTACAGCACCATCTCCTCCCTAGAAACCCCTTCCCTACTACTCTTCCCCTTCCTACCAACATTCTTACTCTCCCACCCTATCCCCAGCTAACCTTCACTATTCGTTGCCAAGGTTGAAGACTCCACCTGTGTGATTAAATACTTTGCAGCAGAAGCATTTAGTGCACTGGATTAATATGAGCTGCTCCTCATCTGCCTGCACTAGTTTGGAAACTTCCTGAGGGTGGGATTTCTTATAGCTAGGAAATATACAGGATTTCCTATACCTAGCTCCAGATCAGGCTGTGTCATCCATGAGGCCCAGTGCAAAATGCAAATAAAAGGCTCTTGTTCAGATTTCAGAATGTGGACAGCAGAGTGTCAAATCAAGGGGACCACAAATGTTGGAAGCAGGCTGAACCTAGAAATGTTAATCATGCAAAGATTAACATTTTACTGGATTTTATCACAGTAAATAAAGACCTACTGATATTTGAGATAACATTGTAATTTTCTAATCCTTGGTTGAAAAGCGAACGAGAAACCACATTTTTTTTTTTCTGATTAGTTTTTCAACAGGATGTTAAAATGCTAAACTTTCTGTCTCAGTTTTGCCTATACACAGAGGTTAAGAGTAAACCAACCACAAAACTGAGGCTATTCACTTGTTGTACAAGGGCATCATCAGCAGTTCTCTGAGTGGTTTGCTGAGAGGGAAAAGTCTGGAATGTTTTAAAGGCTCTACAGGGAGACCTCACGCGTGACTGTGTTAATACAATAGTGTAATCCTGCGCTCTGGTCAGGACAGAGTGAGTCCAATGTCTGCGTAAGATCTCTGTTAGAAATGTTTGAGGTCAGATCTCATAGGGGCCTGACATCTAAAAGTAAATCAAAGCTCATGGTTTTCTATAGTCTTGGCTGACCATGCCACCGTGACAGTTGATGGTTCTGGCAAGTCCTGCAGGAAGGGGACTGTGTGGCTGATCTTCCTCCCCTCTTATGTATTTGGAAAGGGACTCAGACCTCTGGAGCCTTCACAGATAACAAAGCTTTTCACAGAATACTGGCAAAGAGCCTTTCCCCGGAGAGCGATTGTACTGCTAATGTCCACTGGTTCCCGCCCCCACCCATGTACATGGACTAAAGACAGCACAGCTTTTCCACAAAGCCCAGCTGAGCCCTCCTCACCAGCTGGTCTCAGCGCTGCTCTAACCAAGCACCTGCCCAAGGCCCATGCACTTAGCCTCAGTGACAAGAAACTGTCCTGATAATGGAAATGTGCTGAGGTCTTTCCCCTTTAAACGTTTTCTCTTGAACGACTCCCTATAGCCTGAGGTTTCAAGAGCGAGGGTAAGCAGTGATCTCTGAAGCAGCATCTTTCAGGAGGGAATGGATTGTGGTGCCAGCTGGACCAACTGTGCAGCTGGACCAGCACAGTCGAGGCTGTAGTGGGTTAGGGAAATAACCCAGAGAGGAGCAGAGTTTGGCGGACTGATTTATTTCCAGACCTCAGGAGATGAGATAGAGAAGGCAGAGCTGCTCTGCGTAAGGTCAAACTCTCCAATGAGTCCGGCGCTGCTTTGGGGATAGCAGGCGCCAGGCCAGAGCTGGCAGCAGCCTCCACACTAGAAAGGGAAGCTGTTGGGGGAGGGGACCAGGGAGGAAGGAAAGATTCACTCCTCTGGACAATTTCCAGCCTCCAGCCTGAGGCCCTGCGGGAGTCCGCCAGGATCCAGCTGCAGATCCAGACAGTTCCCTGGTGGAAGCCAACCTACTGTAGCCTCGTGCCTGCTCAGATGCCTGCGGGGCTGGGAATTGGAGAGAGGAGGAACTTTAGGAGGCAGTAAAACTTTGGGCTTCGCTGGCCTTTCTTTTACTTGTCACCTCTCCCTGGTCATCTTTAGGGTCTTAAGGAGAGTTTTAGAAAAGAAAAACCATCCTAAATCTTAGGGTGTAGGATTAAGAGAGAGCTGGTTGTACAGACAGAAACAACATCTTGGTGTGTGTTATGGTTTGGATATGCGGTGTTCCTCGAAAAGCTCATGAGTTAATGAGTGTTCAGAGGTGAAATGATTAGATTAGGAGAACTGTAATCTAATCCGTGTATTAATCCATTTGATGGGCTAGTGATGTGAAAGGACTACTGTACTGAATGGTAACTGTAAGTGAAGCGGCACCCCCTTTCTCCACAGAAAAGCCCTGTTCACCATGGCTGATTTTAGGACTGTCAGCAAAAGAGTCCACTGGAGATAAACTTCCTATTTTCATGTCACCCTGTTTACTTGGCCACTGGCCAAGAAGATACCAGCACTCCTGCTGGACACCCCCTTACTAGTTTTTCACAAACGTATCCAGCATAGTACTTTGAAGAAATGTGCAAACAAGGCCTCTGGCCTTGAGCTGGGCTTCACAGAGGTGTCTACATTTTTAAGATAAGTTACAAAAGGGCCCATGGTAACAGCTGGCAGGGGGAGGAAAGAAAGGGGAGAAGAGGCTCTCCCCTTCTCAGGTGTTGTCCTTGAAGGGTTAACTTGTCCAGAACAGTGAAAGAAAAACCTGCTTTTATGTGAACTTCTGCAGACTGTGAACTTCTGAGCCCCTCCCCTTACACACTGGGTATAAAACTCTGAAACTCCCTGAACTCGGGGTTCAGGGGATTGATTGATCACAGCAAAGGCTGTACCCTCTGAACCTGGCTGCAGCCAAATAAAACTGTTTCCTGCTATCTTCAGTGCCTTGCCTCCTTTGTCCCTACAACATAAGCAGATAGGGCATGGCTGGAGAAAGTAGGTGTGTGTGTGTGGGGGGGTGCCCTTGGGGATTATGTTTGTCCCTGGCTCTTCACTGTCTCTGCTACCCAGTGCCATGAACTGAGAGCTTTCCTGTCATGCCCTTCCACTATATTTTGCCTCATCTGAGGCCCCGAGCAATGGAGTCTGTGACCTTGGATGGAACCTCTGGAACCATGATCCAAAATCAGCTTTTCCTTTTCTAAGTTGTTCTTGTGCTTTGGTCACAGCATGGAAAATCTGACTAACACAGTGTCCATTGCTTTAAGGGCATGGCTCCTTAATTCCTATTTTTTTTTTAAACTTGGGATGCCAGAGAGAGCCACCATGAAGTAGAAGCTGGTAAGGGTCACAAGGGAAAACAGTGAACTGCAATAATGGTGTCCCTGTAAGAGCACTTGTTTTAGGTATTAAACATATGGGCCCTGGAATTAGTCAACTATTTAGGGAAGAGTCCGATGAGCTGATGTTTCCTAAGTGTGCACTGATATGGCCCCCTTGATTGTGTGATTGCTAGTTGAGTCCTAGGCCAGAGGTCTGACTCTAGGGGTCCCAACAAATGAGGTCTTTCTACTCATCTCCAACAGCAAATGAAAAAAGTAATGGTGAAAAGCAGGAAAGAAACTTTAATCTGTACAACTATACCAGGAAGACAAAGAGCTCGAGTATCTGCAGTTCTGACTTTGGGGTTTGCTGACACAAGGCTTTAGGTTTAAAAAGAGGAAGAATCCGGTATGCCTAATGAAGCAGTCTTGGTCAACGGAAGTCTGATTCATCATTATTTCAAGTCTGGTTCTTCCAGGTCCTGGAGAAATGGTTGAAGGATCTGGAAAATAGGCCCCACGGAACTTCCCTCATCTACAACTGTTCACCTACCCGCCCTCCTGCCATGTGTGTGGGGAGATGTCTGTGGTAA